GGATTTGCAAATATATTCTAGAATATAAAATGATGAATATTAATGTAAATATATATGTATGTCCTAATGAAAATAAAAAACATTTAAAAACTTGAATACTGTATTTGTATTTAAGTGTTGGATTTGGCCTCTTTTGAAAATTGGTATTATTTTCATTATTTCATTTTCCTAATTTTTTCCAAATATAGGAAGAATCCATTACATTTAAATTGTCAGTAGCTTGTATTACTTCATTATTGTCTGTAAATAATAAATGTTGCTGTTTTCTATGAGACAGCCATTTAAAAAGTTATCACTGAGATTCTGTTCAAATCAAAAACATGGTTTATTTTACCCAGTAAAACTAGGTGGTTATGCTTTTAGTCAAAGTGTGGTGGCATCAGTTTAATTCTTATTCAGATAAGCATATTTTACATTCTGTAACTAAAAACACATCAGTTTAAAGCTCAATGGCTAATATTACCTTTTACAGTCATCATTCATGACTTCTATCAGGTCTTGGCAGAAATGAGTAATGTATTATCTCTAACCTCTTTCTTTCTCCTGTGTAGGAAAGGGTGGGTTTAGAAACACCCACGGATGTGAACTGGTCATTAGGAGAAGGAGGAAATAAATGTTTCTTAGGCTTAGAAGTAGTAGCGACTTGTAACTCTGCCAGTTCCATATCTGGAACATATGATTAGCTCTGTAAGATGCAACCCATTACAGATATTTCTCCCATCTCATTCACCCAATTTAGTTTAAATGTTATTGGGTAAATTCCTTAATAGGCAGTGTGTTTCAACTGAGTTAAATCAACATATTACCTGTGTATGTATGTGTGCACACATGCTATTTAAAACATTAATAGTGATAGACCAAACAACAACCCAACAACAACCCATAAACTCTGAGTAAGTGGGACCAAGTGCAAGCAAATTTAAGCTGAAAGAGAATATTATCCTGATAGTTAGCAATGACTTTCACTGAGAGCTGGGAAGGCAATGTTAAGTAATTAGTATGAGGGCACTAAACCCCTGTTAGGGGATGAGTAGGTGGAGCTGGTATGGAAAAGGAAAGCAACATGTGCCAACTCCATTTTACTAATAACTTTTAGGAAACCTCTCAATTGAGAAAAAGGCAGAACAGAGGTCATAAAGAGCTACAGAGATGCAGACTGGCCATGGAGGAAGATGGCTGCAAACTACATCAAGGAGAGATTTAAGTAGTGGGAATGAAGGGATAGAAATTGGCATTCAGTGTCTACTATGTGTCAAGAAAAATACACATACACACACACGTGTGTGTGTGTGTACTTCTGTATATATTATATGTTTCTACAAGGCCCGCATTATCAATCTTAATTTTCAAATAGAATAAACAGACTTGGAGAGTTCAATAACATACTAATGGTCACACAAGAAGCAAGAAGCACACCTGGACGATGTCATTTGTTGAATGTTCTCATTTTTCATATGGAGAAAACAACAGGGTAGATAGAAGCATTCCAGGTTAAAAAAAAATCATGATATCTTTGAATGCAGAAGTAAGACAGGCAGAGACTTACTCATTTCTTCCAGCTATTTAATGTTTGAATTGACTAGAACCCATCACTCCATCCAGTTTCAACTCAAGGAAAAAGAAGTAGGAATAACACCAAATATATTCCTCTGAGTGTCCCCATGAGCCCTCCTCCCAACACACATTAATTTTAAAAACATAATATTGCTCAAAATGTACTGGTTAAATAATTGAATGCATCTATTTGGCTATAGTACAAGACATACTTAGGAATAGGTTATATGTGGCATAATTTTGAAGATACTGGAAAAACACTGTGTCCAAAAAGAACTCTACCCTATCTTCTTTCCTATGACCTAAAATTTTATAAGTAGACATGCATATGTCTTTTATTAGAATGCATATGCTCATGAAATTTAATGTAGGGTCACCTTTGTCTTATTTTGAATGACTTGTGTTGCATTTTTTTCCCAGAAAACTGCTTTTCATCATTGGGAAGAAACATATAATACAAATGGGAGAAGGGACACGATGAGAGAGAGAACTGTGGAGAGAAGTAAAAGAGGTGGAGATGATCAAGACTTTGTCATTCTGCTCAGGGCATATCCTATTACATCACTTCACAAAAGGACATTGTGGGGGAAATGACTTCTAACTGATCACATTATATCTGAAAGTTCAACAAGGTTGAAATTTTACAAGTAGTCAGTTACATGAAAGTGCAAATGGTGGGTGGACCCAAAGGGTCAGGGATTACATCTGCTGCCTACACTGCGGTCTTTCACCTTCATACCTAATAGTTGCCTCTTTATCTTGCATGAATAATGTGATTCCTTGTCCTGCCACTCTATGCATAAAATTACTTTCACTAAAGGGGCAAAAAAGCAATTCTCAATCTAATCCATTTTGCAAATTTGACAGTGATATCAAAGAGCAGGAAGTTGTCTGTGAGTAATGACACACTGATCATTTGTTTAAATGTCAAACTTAAACTTCAACAACTTTCAGGGAATATGTCAGTAAAGAATGGATTTCAGTCAGCCAGAGAGGATTTCAATGTCATTTAGTCCCAGAGAAAATAGCTGTCAGTATCTTGAGAGCACAGTGCTTTGAGTAAATTCTTCTTTTTAAGCTGAATGGAATTGGCCATTTCAGCACTTGGGGCTGTGGACAGTACTCTTTTCCTTGACATTATGAAACACGTAGTCTTACTGTAGAGGTGTTTCCTTCTTGAGACTAAAACACTCCTTAGGCTTGCAAACACGTACCCCTAAACTATGCAATTAGAATATGAAGACTATGCATCAACATTCTGTGTAAGGCCAGAATAAAGTAACAGCAAAGGGAAACAAATTTTATCACAGAGATTAAGCCTGAAATAAAAATTAGGGAAGGGAAATAGTTATGATTTGCAGCTATTCCTGCAAAACAGGTCAAATTTTTACTGCAACGCAATAACATTCCTCTCTGGATAGGATTTTGTTGGAGACAATGACAGAGCCATTAACCCTTCATGGTAATTTATTAACAGTGGACATAGATGCAAGAGAGAACACGAAATACATTTAATAGGCTTGCAGACAACAAGGAGCAAAGAATTCATTCTCTCCATGCTTTCTAGCTCTAGAGTGGAATATCAATGGAGAATTTTGGATCTGAGGTCAGAAGAAATGGAGCTGAATCTGAATCATGTTCTTTAATAAGCCATTTCATTTCTCTAAGTCTTGTTTCTTCTTCTATCAAACATGGGTTACTTTGAGGTTTAAATGAGAGTGTATGTGAAGGAGTCTGGCACAAGGTAGGTACTCAATTGATGTTCAATTTAGATTACTTATCATTAAGAGTTGGCATAACAGTGATATGTTTCTATGCTGGCGGCCATGTGTTTTAATAGTTGTAACTCTAAGAATGGATGCCAGGAAGGGAAACAAGAAAGTCATTATTATTAGCAGACTTATCCTTATAGCAAAGGACCCTAAGCATGTGTATTTTCACCTTCATCCACCTTGTTTGCATCACCCAAAGATTCCCTTTATGTTTACCTTTAAAACAACAAAAATGGCCTGAAAGCAATATAGTATTATTTAAAAAAAAAAAAGTTTTCAGAGGATTTGTATCTCTCTTAAAAAAAATGATATTCTACCAACTCTCTCCAGAATGCTTCTCAGTCACATACTACCAACTACTCTGCCTGCTGAATTGGTGACAGACTACTTTGAATGCTTCCTACCCAGACTGACATACTTGGGGAGAGAAGGTAAAAATCAGATTAGTGCTGATAAGTTCCTTGTCATTCTCCATTGCAGCTACAAATTCTTTGCTTTGGACTTCAAAGCCACTCAGCCTATCTCACCTCACCCATCTTCACTTTTTGTAACTGAAAATCAAGAGCATCTTCTCCTAGCCTCCCCCATCTCCTCCTGTCATTTTCAACAGAGATTGCCTCCACACTGCCCTCTGCATTTGAAACGCCTCCCACTCTCCATTCATCAAGGTACACGCTCCTTCCATTCACAATTCATGTTAAGTCGTCCTTCCCTTCCAAAGCTCCTTTTCTTTAAGTGGATTCCCCAGTGGATTAAGCGGATTCCCCAGCTGCCCTAATAAACTCCATCACCACAGCCCCAAACCGCACTGCACCCCCTCCCCAACACTCTGAAATTGTGCCCAGCGGGGAAACGGACGGGGCAATCTACCTTTGCATAAGAACTCAGGGACGAATAGGGAGTCTAGCGTTTAGCTTGGTCTTGTCTTTGGGCGAAAAAAAAAAATCCATTACAAAATTTCCTCAAGCCTGGCAACAAGCATGCTCTGGAAAAAAAAATATTGGTTGAGTGGATGAATGAATGAATGGATAGGAAGATGAATGATTGAGATCTCTTTGGTACTTTTCTCAGATGCCCCTCCCTCTTGCTGGCTCCTGGCATGGTTCCTGTTTAATTCAGCTTCAGTGCGTGAGTGCACTTCCGTGCTTCGCCTGTCTCCACTCCCTGCCTTTTCATTACCACCTCTAGACAGAGCCTAACCTCCTCGCCAAAGGGCACTCTACCTGCCTCACAAATCCTTTGTGACTTCAATGGCCACAGAGAGCTTGCTCCTTAGGGGCACAGCTTTGTCCTCTCCCAGCCTTCCCTCTCCAGAAAGCCCCCGAAATCTCTGGCTACGTTACAAAAAAGGATGACCAATTTCCCCACACTCAACAAAATCCACCTGGAGACCCTGTCGTTGCCTCCCTCTCGCCTCCTGTAACTGTGGTGATCGCAAAAGAAATGCGCTTCCACGCTTCTCCCTGCAGAAAAAGGAATTACCATTCCAGGACTCCGTCCTGGTTCCGAAAATCAGAAAACTTTCTTTTTTTTTTTTAACAGAAAACCCCACCCGGAGAGCAGCGACCTCTTTGTTTGCTTCCCAGGGGGGAGGGAGAGGTCTTCAGAGCCTTTGCAGCCCGGGGCGGAGGAGACGTGACAGCCCTCTGGAGGGCTGCCCGGGACCAGACTCACCCAGGACATTCCCAATAAGAGCCACCACGAACACGATGATGTACCCAGCGATCAGGACCCACTCATATTCTTTCGGGTGTAGGTATTCCCTCCACAGGTACCGCAGGAATTCCTCGTCGTCATAGTCGGTGGGGTTTAAAAAGGGCTCTTGAGTTTCATTCAGCTCCGAAGCAGATGACCAGTTGCGACAAGGGGGGGAGTCCTCCAATTTGGTACCGGACATCACGGGCTCGAGTCCGGTTCCGCTCAGTGCCGCAAGCCGCTCTTCGCCTGCCCCATGAGCACTGCGATTTGCGGTGCGAAAGGCTGCGCGGAGACGCGAGAAGGGGCTCCAGAGCAGAAAATGACGTGAAAAGTTACTGAGCCAATGCCTCCGGAGTCTTGTGCCGGGCAACTTCTGCGGCGGCTCCGCTGTCTTTGTAGACGATTTTGCACTGTGAAGAGAGGCGGCTGAGGAACTAGGGACCTGGCACTGGAGGCTGCAGCAATGACACCGGGGGGGGGAGAAAGCTACCTAGGGCTCGGCTCGGACTCAATTACTCCTCATTCCAGCACTGAGTCCACAGCTCACAGCCTCCGCCCGCGCTGAGGGAGAGCTGAAGCTGAAGGAGGGTGGGAAGGGGTGGGGGAGTCATAAAAATTATTTTAACCTATTTCTCCGTGGGTTAAATCTCCCGCTTTTCTACTTTTCTCTTCCATTTCTCACGTGCAATTTCCATAACCCATACACAGACATGTGTATGCTATGGACATGACAAGCATGTTCACCCATGGTTAATACAGGATTTGTTGATGCATTTGTCTTTTTAATGTCAACATTTAAGTAACGAAGAGGAGCCACTGTGTTCCTCAAGCAGGACTATGCAAAAGTCATTTCAGGCAAACCTTTTCACATTTGTTTGGCTTTGCCAACTTAGCACTTGCTGAATCTTGAAGATATCGCCTCCACTCCCCCTTTTCCAAACTGGGGAATGAGACGATTTTTGAATTGAAGGATATATTTAGCTGGAATTTGTACTTGCAAAACCAAGTGTCATAAGAAACACAGCAGCAAAAGCTTGAAGGACACAAGGGTCATAAACGTGCTAATAGTTAATGTTGTCAAGCAAAGGAGACATCCACATGTTAAACAGATCCTTAGGAGGATGTTGTGGTATAAGCAGAAGTGCTCTCTGGTGAATACCACACCCCACTGGTCTTTCTTCTTACTGACTCAGGACTGATGTCACCTGCCACTCTCTAATGAAATTGATTTCATCTCTAAGAAGTACATTTTGGGATTCATCACAGTATGAGTTCAGGATCCTTTCGTTCTCAATATCCATGATAGGAATATTGCATTTGATTATAATTCTGGATATGGGAAGGGACTCCAACATCACCTAGCCTCAACTTCGGTTAATATTGGAAGCCTTCTAATAACATTGCTGATGTTTCCCCACCTAGTGTGGATGGACCACCTTAACTTATGACTTCCACCATCATGGGGCTGCTCTGAAACTGCTCCTTACATTAAAATAAGGTCTTAAACCAACATACAATTTTCTTAGCCTTCTACCCTCAATACCTAGTTTGCCTCTTGGTGCTACATGGAATAAATCTTCCACATGACAACCCTTCATATATTTAAAATAAGTATCACAGTCTCCTTCCCTTTCCTCTACTTTTTCCCTAATTAATTCCATTGTTTTTCAATGACACTTTCCCCAAAACTCTACTCATGTGGTCTTCCTTTAGACAATTCTCAATGTCTTGCATAATATGAAACTAGGAGGAGATACCGTAATTTGGTTTGGGTCTTGCTGGTACAAAATGTACATTATCATGTAGATGCAACCAATGTCTGTATCTAATTCCTTTTTTTCAAATGTCACAAGACACTGTTGATTGGTATTGAGTGTTAAGTCAATCACCCTAACTCCTACCCCAGGCATAATTCTTCACAGTTGTTTTGTACTTTATAGTTGGAAAATTTTTTCATACACATTGTTGTAAAACCGCTGAGGGGATGATGTGATTAGCACTGTTTTACAGATGAGGAAACTGTTCTGGAGAAATTAAATGATTTACCAAAAGTCAAGTGACTAATCTATGGCAAGACCATCCAGTTCTTCTGATCCCAGCTTGGGGTTTCTATTATTTTACAGATGTCATATTTCACAAGAAATACTATTGTTATAGTTTTCCCATCTGCACTAGTCATTTTTGTTAAAGATTTTATTTATTTATTTGACAGAAAGAGCAAGAGAGAAAGAGAGCATGAATGGGGGGGCAGAGGGAGAGGGTGAGGGAGAAGCAGGCTCCCCAGTGAGCAGGGGCTCCATCCCAGGACCCTGAGATCATGACCTGAGCCAAAGGCAGACGCCTAACCAACTGAGCCACCCAGGTACCCCAAGCATTAGTCATTTTTTAAGAGAAGAAAATAAATAGGCCTTTGATTTCTTTGACAAATATTTACTTAGTGTTTCTATTCCACTCTCAGTGATATAAGTTAAGCAAGGTTACCATTTTCATGAACTTTACTTTCTAGGGAAGTTAGAAAGCGAACAAATCAACTACTGAATACATAAGAAAATAATAGGAAGGGATAAATGTTATGATGAAAACAAAATAGGGTGAAGTGATGGTAAGTGGAGAATCCCAAAGGCCATGTTAGAAACAGATGGTCAAAAAGGCCTGTGTGAAGAGGTGACAGCTAAGTAGGATACCCACATGATGTATGCATGTATTAATTTTGTTAATTTGGGGTTTAACCAGATCTTAAATGCTGCTGCTATTATCCAAAGCATTAGCCATTTCACCAGACCTCTTGTCATCAGTAAATTTGACAAGCAGGCCTTCTGTGGCTTCATTCAAGTTCACTGATACAAATCTGCGAACTTTATCCCGTGGTATAATGTGTCCCTCTGATTTATTAATGTCTGGTTTTTCCTCTTCCATGTATGATTCTTTTAAAAATGGGAAAGGTTGTGGCTACTTTAGTTGCAATCTATATTCATTAACGTCTTCAAATTTCTTGTCGTTGACAATCCACAAATATGGACCCCGTATACTGTTTTCTAAGTACTCAGTGCCATTAGGATTTTTCTGTGTGTGGCACTTCAACTTGTTTCTACTTCAATCTGTTCTTTTTAAGTTTTCTACCTGCAATTAATCATCACTCTACTAAAAGTATAAATAAGGAGAAACAAGAATAGTTGCAAGATTTTGTTCTGATATCGCTTTATGTTGCGACAAGCCTGGATTGATCTTGAAAAGTATTCCATTTCTTTCTGTCCATACTTTGTCGGGCACTTTATTTTAAATACATGGTACTCTATTGCCATACAAAAATTCACTCAAATCTTCAAATTTTCATTTTGTGTTTTGTAAACATGTTAGAGATGATAAATATTACAGTACTCATTTTGATGTGATAGCCTTCTTTACATCTCTTGATATCTTTTAGGGCATTTGAAAATAACTTTTAGTTCTGTAGGTATTGTTTTCTTCAATTCAAAATCTTTCTGTTGGATGTATGTAAAAGGAGTCAGCCTAATAAAGCATGACAATTAAAAAAAGTTCCAAATTTGTCTAGTGATGACCTCTTAAGCTTGTTATCAGAATTAAATGAATTGATATTTTTAGAACAGTGTCTGGTATATAGAAGGGATCTGAAAATATTTGTTGAATATAATTTAAAACTATGTGATCTAGTGGTGTGAATATTATTTGCTTTACATATCAATTCCTCTAAGTGATTATTTTAGAAAAAGAGAAATGTAGCTCACAATAGTCTGAGTAATTCTGTTTAACTACCCATCTTATACTTTTTTCTGTAGCTTTTAGCTCTCCGACTAACCTGAATATATTAAAAATGAGAAAGAAAAAGAAAATAAAACTCAAAGCCAGATTTTTTCCCCCCAGTGGTTGTGGTTAGGTTGTTCAAAGATCTCAGATTACATGGGCTGTCCCAGATTTTATATTCTTACTCCTGATGCCAGACTATACTTTTTGCAGCCTATAATAACTTTATGAATCCATTTCATGAAATATTTCTGAGTATTCCCTATGTGCCCAGGAGTTTAGTTAAGAGCTGGAGGCATAAAGATCAATAAGACATAGTCTAGCCTCAATGATCTCACAGTGTGCCAGAAAATTAGAAGTGTTATGATTATAGAACCACTCTGTGAGTTTCTAGGGTAGAAGGATGCAGAGAGTGTCATGAGAACATGAAAGAACACCTAATTCAGCCTGGAGAAAACCAAAATGGATGGCTCCCCCACAGGGAAAGTCACTCTTGAGCTGACTCCTTGAAGAGAATGAGATTACTAGCTGGTTAGGGATGGGAAGTGTTCAGTCAGGGAGGGCAGGCTTTCATGAAGACTTAGAAGCAGGAGCAAACATGGAGTGTATAGACAAAAGCAAGGTGAAGTGAACAGTCAGGCTTTCTCAACATCTCTGGAAAATGGAATCCAGAATGGTAAGACTGGAGAGAGGGTACTAGGTAGGAGATAGTTAATGATGCTGCTGTCACAAGGGAGATAATGGCTCTGAGGATTGAGAAGAGATGGGTGTTATAAAAAAAATAATAACGGTTTGAATAGATATGATCCAGAATACAGCAATCTTGTTTTACTTTCTTGAAGGCTGACTACATGGTAACAATATGTTTGAAGTTTATTTATTTGTTTTGCTGTGTATTTTGAAAAATAAATTGAAGAAAGAAACAGAGAGGTGTCCCCCAGCTGACTTTCGGGTATTTGAAAAGAAGTTGTTTTCCTTCCTTCTTTCCTGTTGGAAAGAAAATGAAATCAAGTCTGAGCACTCTCCGTAATGACTGTACTGAGCTTGCATATTATATCCCAAATAAATGTATTCATTTTGCAGGAAGTTATCTGACACCTCTAGGCTCCAAAGACCACATTTTCTTATAATATGGCCTTGCTAAATCTTTCTGGAAAAGTCCCTGGTTCATGGGAGGGCCTAGCAATCAGATTTTCAGGAAATATGGGGGAAAGGGACCTCTGATAACTCATTCCTCTTAGGAGAAACTCTTGAGTGGGTTACTGAGAATGAAATAACTTCATGCCCTAGAAAACTGAGACATTAAGATTCAAAATTACATGTTGCAAATTACTACAAAACATTGCTGTCTCTTTTCCTTCCCATCCTTCTTTTACTCCCCCCTTATTTACTTGTGTCTTATTTCAGACTAGGTTCTCTCTGTTCCTTCTTGCCTCCTATCCTGCATGGTCAGATCTGACATGTTCCCTCATGGTTCTTTTATTCAACAATCTATGGAAGTCATGCTCTATTCCTATCCTATGTCGAGCACAGACAAACATTGTTCTGCTCTTATTTGGTTTTTGTCTCATGAAAAGCATAGAGCACTAAGCAAGTAATTTAATTCAGTAAAACAAATGCCCTTATGCGTACCTCCAAAGAGATCTGAAAGTGAAGGAAGAGACATCTACTCTGTCAGAGTGGGGCCAAGATGACTATTGGAGGAGATGTTATCTAAGCTCAGAAATGAAGAATGGGGAGTGGTAGCCGCCAGTATGATGGTTGGGAGAGATGATTGGTAACAGAATGGAAGCAAGGAACTTGGTTTGTGAAACAACATGAACAGTCAGCATTCCGATGAGTGCTTGCTTGGGCTAAGCCCTGTGCCAAGCACATTACATGTATTAACTCAATTGATCTTCACAACTTTATGAGATAGGTCTTATTAGTTATCACACCAATTTTATAGAGGAGGAAACTGAGACATGGAGAAGTTAAGTAACTTTCCCAAGGTCACACAGCTAGAAAATGGTAGAGTCCTTGACCAGAGTGGTCATGATCCAATTCCAGAAATGTGTAATTTTTTTGCCATCACTCTATTCTGTTCTCACAGTAAAGAACCAAAAACTTTTCAGTATGGTGAGGTGTTTCCTCTATTAGTAGTAACAATACTATAAAATTTTGATTCTTAAAGACCATATTTATAAAATTATATACATTTCATATATTTTTAAATTTCTGGTTATATCTTAAGTAATGTTGAAGAGGGGAAATTGTTATGCCCTTCAAGGTGATGTCTCCCCACAGCAAATCAATATCCTTCTACATGTTCTTAGGTATAAA